TGATACCAAAAATGATGGAGAAGGTGAGAGAAGTGATGGATGAACCTCTCCTTAGCTTCTCCTTAAGCTTGGATCTTCTTCAAAGGAGATTGGAAACGAAGTGATGAACCAAAGAAGGAGGAAGAAACACGGATGGAATGAGGCCAAGCCTTGGATGGAAGCATCCAAGCTTAAAGAGCAAAGGATTGCTCACTTTAAAGAGAAGGAACTAGGGAATTCCTAAGGTGTTTGAAGGCACTCTCTCTTGCTCTTTCTAGTTTGGTGACTCTTGAAGAATTGCTGAAGATTTGATTCAGAAATTCAAATGTATTCAAAAGTGTTTGTACAAGGCATGGGAAATACATTTATAGGTGAAAGACTAAGGCAAATTGGCGCCAATCCGAGTAAGCATAATTGGCGCCAAGTTTGAATTTCAAATTTGAATTTGAAATTCAAACTTTGGCCAATTATATGACTAATCCGGATGGTACCTTCATCCTAATGTCATTTGGAAGTTATTTGATGTGAATTTGGAGCTCACATGTCCGGATCCTCACCATGTAATCCATGTGACTCAAATTCAAATCAAATTACTTCTAAATGACATAGAAATGAACCCTAATGCACCTATTAATGTATACTTTGTATAAACCTAATCTAATGACCTAAATACATTGGTCAAAGGAATACAATGAATAGAAAAAATTACAAGAAGAAAAATGAGCCTAATATTGGGTATCAAAAGCCTAAAGCCCAAGAAGCCTAAATATAGGCCCAAAAGTAAAAACCCTAATCATTTAAAGCTCAACATGGTGTATTTAAAGCCCAAATACAAGACCAACATCAAAGTAACTTCCTATGCTAAGTAATTACAATAGAACATGGTGTCAATCTATTAAAGCCCAAGTGAGAAGCACCCTAGGCCCACCAAGCTCATTGGGCCCACTAAGCTCTGAAACAAACAAGTCTTTAAGTAATCTCCTGGCCATAGCTCTAGTGGTTGGGCCTTTAGCCCATGCTCTTCCATCAAATAATTTATTAAGGATATCTTCATATGCTCTAGAAATCCTTAGGACAAAATGGAATATACCTCAATAAAGCTAAGTTAATGTATCCTCCATGGAATAAAATCAAAGTCTCTCTCCATGGGGTAGCCCCAGTTTTATTTGTAGCATATATTGCCTTAATTCAATGCGTCGCAAATTTGACGTCCATTTCTCTATATTTATATTCGTATTCACATCCAAAATTAAAAATAAAAAAATATATAAATCAAAGAAACTCGAGAGTTATCCATCACATCGTCATAAAAAACAGTTCCATACATTTATATTAAATTCACATCAAAACTACTGAATTCACCTTTTCACATACCATTGAGAAAAGTTGAAATAAATAAAGGTCTTAATTATTTAAAGCCGGAGATATTGACCATAAACTATTATTAATTACCATTATTTTCACAAAGCACATTATTGCTCAACCATTATTATCCGAATTGGAAAAATGATTGTTTTGTTGTTGGAGGTTGGGCGGGCTATCCATGATGATTTTGATCAAAATCTGGCATTCTCATGATCATTCCTGGAGCACCATATGGTCGGCTTGGAACATAAAAATGAGGTGACATGTAATAATAGCAAGGGACATTCTGAGTTAGAGCAATCCCTCGTATTGGTATCCCTACATGCTCCATTGTGTCATCCCTGGGCACAACATCAATAAGAAAATCATAACTCATCAGTCCTTGTGATTGCATATGCAATGTCACTCTTCTGAAGTGACCTTCTTTTGTTCTTTTCGGTATTAGCCCAAGCCCTCATTGTGAGCTCTTGAATGAACATGTCACAGGCCTTAGCAAACATCATAGGAGCCTCAGCTGATATCATCACATCCCCTTCAGCCTTCATGATCTTCTTAATCCTAGCTACGGGCAAGCTATGAGTCTTGATGTTTGTGGTCTCCTCAATTTCCTTACACTGTTTTCTCCAGAACTTGTCGAGTTGTTGCTGCAAGTGGTCTTGTTGTTGGGGGTACATGTACATGTATTGGGGAGCACATATTGTTGCTCTCTTGGGTAGGATGAAGGAAGAGAAGGACCAAATGGTTGAGTTGGAAGATTGATAGGTGCCATCATAGGGTTCTTGCCATGTGCTTCTTGCTCTAGAGGGTCAATCCCTTTGGTTGGTTGAGCATGCTGATTTTGATCCATGTTGTTATGCACTTCAAAATAATCTTTGGCCATTCACAGATAAGCAAAAGAACTCATAAAAAAAGAACATGATATACACCTAAGAAAAACCATTTGTGGATCATAAATAAAACATGCCAAAGGTAAAAAAATATGTAATGGAGTTTTCTGTACGTAATTCTTTAAGTCTATTAGGCTTTTCAATTTTAAGGGTGAAAAAAATCTTAAAAAAAAAAAACATCTTATATGCTGTAAAAATAAAATAAAATTAGAAATTTGACCCACATATCATGGTTGTTGGTCCAGATAAGATTAGATCTCACGAACTTATTGTATATATGACCCTCATATTTTCCGGTTCAAACAAGATTAAACCCCAAAAAAATTGTTGTATGATCCTTTTAGACTCGAGCAAATCAAATGAAATGTGCCGAAACCTTGAATTATATATCAAAAGAATTATATATTTTGATTATCCACAATTGAAGTGCTAATTAAAACTGAGAATTTGAGATCAAAAATTAAAACTTTTTTCAACAACGACCAATAATAAAAAGAAAATCAAATATGTACAATGCTGGCTTACATGCAACATGCACAACACTTGAAGCAACAACAAAAGCTATAATAAAAATATCCTAAATTAAGTAAATGCTTTTGGTCTTGTCAACTAAACAACAAAACCATTTAAATTTGTTAATTACTAAAAAAATTCACAAAAAAAAAGCTAATTGCATACAATATGCATAAACACACATATGATGTATAAATTAATTAGATTGAATTTGATAATTTGATAATCAACAATGTAAATATAAAGAGAGAAAAAAGATATACCTCAAGTTTGTGTTTATCATATATTGAGATTTCAACATTCTATAGCAATATCATTCATACTCTTGAGCCTTCTCTTTAACTCGGGAGATGAAGAAAACTAGCTCTGCTAGGGTTCCGGAGAAAGATGAGTATTCTAGCGACAATTCTATGATTCGGAGTACTAAGAAGGTCAAGTGAGCCTGCTTCTGCCATGGAGGATGCTTGTATGGAGGAATCGGTGGAAGGTGCTTCCATGCCAAAAGACTCTTCTAAATCTTATTTAGAAAGTCTTCTAACGTCTGACGGAGGGAAGATCTTCACTGATCTCAATAGTTTAATGAAGGAGATGGTGTACCCGGAGGAAGCAATCTATAATGATAAAGATGAGTCAACAGAGGATGAGAGGGAACTAGACTCGTGTCCCACTATCCCTGTCACGCAGGAGGAATTTGAAGAATGGTGCTCTCCGTGGAAAAATTCCTCAGTAATCAACGTGCTTGGGAAACGAGTAGCATACAAAATGCTGGACAATAAAGTTCAACGTGAATGGGCTAAATCTGGGATTGTCCGTTTAGTCGATCTGTCTCAAGATTTTTACCTTGTTCAGTTTTCTGCTGAAGATGATTACAAGCATGCCTTGTATGAAGGGCCATGGATGATTGCATATCATTACATTGTAGTATAGAGGTGGAGGCCATTTTTCACCCTCACAATAACTAAAACTCGCAAAATCGCGGCTTGGATTCGCATACCAGGGCTACCTATTGAGTTGTTCAATGTCTACTTTCTCTGGCGTGTAGGTAGCAAGCTGGGTACAATGCTTAAAATTGATAAGTTGACTTCTATCCAAACTCGTGGATGATTCGCCAGGATATGCATGGAGATTGATCTCAAGAAGAAGTTGGTACTGCATATTAATGTTCTTGGGCATTTCCTCCATTTGGAATATGAAGGGCTTCACTCTATCTGTTTTCATTGCGAAAAATATGGTCATAAACAAACCCAATGCACTGAGCCCTTGGTTAAGGAGGATGATGGTAAAAAGACTACGAATCATCATGGTGCATCCATGGAGGTGGGCACTGACGACGCTCCAATAATGGTAGGATAAACTAACCCTAATCATGATCTGCAAGATTCTAATCAAAATCAGTCAAATCCGGGCCATTTGGATTCAGTGGACCAATATGGTCCTTGGATGATAGTTGAATGTAACAAGAAAGCTGCAAGAAATTGGCCGCAAATTCTAGGAAAGGATAAAGTTAAAGATTTGGGTCTTGATAACCGCACCAAAAATCAATATGAATATATTTTTGATGAAGTGGCAAACCTTGTGAACCAATCTGATGTCCTTAATGAGGGAGAAGAACTGATAATTCAACCCAAATCAGTTGTAATAAGTCGTAACCCCTTAGCGGGGAAAAACCCACAATTGCAACATAAAAGGAACACCTACAGGGCAAGAACAAGGCAATAGGAGCATCATCTCTAGGCGCAAACGGAATCACTTTTAAAGGTGGGGCCCATCTCCATCCTATCTCACCAAAATAATCTCATGCATGGTCAAAGAGTCAACATGCAGAACGTGAAGCAAAAAAATCTTTTAGAGTTTTCACCGGCCTAAAGAATGTAACATATATGAGGGAGGGTTCCATGCAGTAGATGAGTTAATTACGCAAGCTCATACTCCAGACGCCGAGGCGCTAGCCTTTGCTAATGCGCTGAAACAACATTTTGAAGCAAGAGAAAATAATTCATAGAAGCATACAACGAATAAGCAAGTTGGAATTGTCCAACATGATGGTACCAGGTTTTCAAAACCAAACTCCTTTTCTGGTTAGATATGAATATTCTAATTTGGAATTGTAGAGGGACGGGCAGCAAAGGATTTGTTCCTTTTGTTAATGAATTAATTCAAGAAAATGATGTGGGTATTTTTTGTTTACTATAAACACATGTTAGTGGCCCTAAAGTGCAACAAATAACACGTCGCATCAAGCTTGATAAATCCTTCATGGTTGACGCTAATGGTCGTGCTGGAGGAATATGGTGTTTTTGGGACTCGGCAAGATGGAAGCTAGAGATGTTACAATTTTCTACTCAGTTTGTTCATTTTGCTGTTTCACGTGGATCTTTAGCTTGGGAGTTAACTATAATTTATGCCAACCCACACCCTCATTTTCGTATAGGTCTCAAGAGGGAACTTAGAAGAATAGCTGAGAACATTCAAAATCCTTGGTGCATTCTAGGTGATTTCAATGCTGTCCTAAAGGAGTCTGAATGCAAAGGAGGTTCATCATCGGCGTGCCTCCGTGGTGATAACGCTTTTAGAGATTTTGTGCTTGAATGCCACCTGTTAGATATGTGCTACCAGGGAGAACCCTTCACTGGGAAAAGAGGTTCCTTATTTGAGAGATTGGACTGTGTTCTGGTTAGCTTGGAGTGGAAAATGGCTAATCCAAATTCAAATGTCTTTCATCTAAACCCCTTTAAGTCGGACCATTGCCCTTCCTGCTGAAACTATCACCAGAGGTGGTAAATAAATCTCGTAGACCTTTTCGCTTTGTAGCCACATGGTTGACCCACCTAGACTTTCCTACCCTAATTAGAGAAAGTTGGGACGAGAAAATAGATTGGCCAAGCAAATTGAGGAACACACAATGCAGCTTGCTAAAATGGAACAAAATTACCTTTGGTAATATTTTTCATGCTAAGAGACAACTAATAAAGAAGTTAAATGGAATAACATCTAGGCTTCTTCAAGAAGATAACCCATTCCTCTCTAATTTGCAAAGAGAATTGTGGAGTTAATATGAAACAATTCTCACAAGGGAAAAGTTATTTTGGCTTCAGAAATCTTGGTGCAAATGACTGGAGTATGGAGATCAAAATACCAGCTATTTTCATGGCACCACTATCATTAGAAGGAGGCGAAATAGGATTGTGAAGCTACAAAATGAAGAGGGTACTTGGATAGAAAACAAGCGTGAACTGGAGCTTATGGTGACTACTTTCTACAAACGTTTATTTAAAGATCGAGAAGTGTATGTTCCTTATTGTCTCACATCAACCTTTCCTACCCTATCAGCTCAAGAGTTGGAGGAATTCTCTCTACCATTCTCAGATTTGGAGATTCATGGTGCTATAAAGCGTCTGGGTGGCCTTAAAGGCCCTAGACCAGATGGTTTCCATGCTATCTTCTATCAATCCCAGTGGAGTATAGTGGGCCCGTCCCTGTGTCATTTAATTCATGATGTTGAACTTGGTCCGAGGAAGATTTTTGAAATTAATGATACCTTGATAACTCTCATACCAAAAGTTGATAATGTAGTTTCACTGAAGCAAATGAGACCAATTAGCCTCTGCAACGTTTCCTACAAAGTGATTACTAAAATCCTGGCATCTCGACTTAGGAAAGTTATGGAAGGTTTAGTAAGCCCAAATTAGTGTAGTTTCGTTCCTCATCAGCAGACTTCTGATAACATCATCATCACTCAAGAGGTGATTAACTCTATAAAACATAGAATAGGCAAGAAAGGTTGGATGGCTATCAAAATAGATCTTGAGAAAGCCTATGACCATCTCAATTAGAGATTTATTAAAGATACTTTGGAAGATATTGAGTTTCCTAAATAGTTTGTTGACTTGGTGTTGGCTTGTACCTCCACTCCATCTATAAGTATGCTTTGGAACGGGGAGAAACTGGAAAATTTCAAACCGTCTCTACGTATAAGACAAGGGGACCGCTTATCACCCTATCTCTTTGTCTTATGTATGGAGCGTCTGTTTTACCTTATAGAAGTTGTAGTGACTCATAAGCTATGGAAACCGGTTAAACTTTCTAAAAAAGGGTCGACCTTATCATACCTTGCTTTCGCGGATGACTTGATCCTACTCTCTGAGGTCTCTATGGATCAGGTAAAAATAATTCAACAATGCCTTGACATTTTGTGCTATAGTTCAGGTCAGAAGGTTAGCATTGAGAAGACTCACATCTTCTTCTCAAAAAATGTGACTTGGGCGATTAAAAAGGAGATTAGCGATGCTTTCAAGTTTCAACGTACTGATAACCTTGGTAAGTATCTAGGAGTTAATATCCATCATGAGAGAGTTAATCGTTGTCTCCTTAGATCTGTGATGGAGAAGGTAAATCAAAGGCTCAGCTTGTGGAAGGTAAGAAATTTAGCTTTCACTGGTCTTTTAACTCTCACCAAATCTGTTCTCGCGGCAATTCCCTCCTACACTATGCAAACTGTTTTCTTTCCCCATCAGGCTTGTGATGAAATTGATAAGTCATGTAGATCTTTTCTATGGGGCCACACAAGTGATTAGAGGAAGGTTCATGCGGTAGCTTGGCCAAAAATATGCAAACCAAAAAATGAAGGAGGTCTTGGTTTGAGAGAGATGAAGCTTGTTAACAGATGTTTTATGATGAAAAATTGTTGGACCTTCTACTCACAGCCTCTAAATTATGGGTCCAAGTCTTAAGAGATAAATATAAATGTGGGAACGATCCTATTCCAGTTATTAAGAAGAAATCAATCTCCTCAAATATTTGGAAAGGTATTTGTGATGCGTGGTCATCTGTCCAACCATTCATTGCATGGAATGTTGGGGATGGCAAACAAGTGCAAATTTGGATGGATCGCTGGCTCCCTTCTTGAACCCGTCTTTTTGAGGTGACCTTAGCACCAGTTCTAGAGCAGGAAAAAGGTAAATCAGTATCTGAATACATCACTGAGGAAGGCACATGGGACCTAAAACATATTCATTTTCTGCTTCCCACTTCAGTTTGGTTTGAGGTTATAGGGTCTGCTCCCGTACTATCATGATTGACCCAAATGTTTTGGTTTGGGGTGGGTCCTTAACTAGAACCGTCTCCATAAAATCTGCATACAATGCAATTCGTATAAGTTCTAATGGATCGAGTGTATTATTTAATTTAATTTGGAAGTGGTGCGGTCCAGAACGGGTGATGTGCCTACTATGGCAAGTGGCTCATGAAAGCTTGGTAACAAATGATTGGCGTAGCAGGAGGGGCCTAACAAATGATCCATTCTGTCCTATTTTTAAAAGAGAAAGGGAAACAATGCTACATGTATTACATGACTGCCTTTTTGCAAAAATCTATTTGGTTATCCCTATTTGACGAAACCCCTGGTTTTGACTTTTTCTCAAATTCTACTCTTGATTGGTTGGAAGGCTTGCAACTCTTTTGTCTTTCAACAATTCCAGCTTAATACTACTCTTCTACTAGGTGAGATCCGTGGAAGAAGTCGTGAGCTATCAAATAGATCTAGCCTGGTAGCTAATCGTGGAGTCTTTCCTCCTCATTCAATCTTATATATTGGGTGGAAGGCCCCTCCTCAAGGTCATTTAAAGCTTAATTGTTACGGGGTAGTCAATACATCCTGTGTTGCCTCCTATGGTGGGGTGCTTCGTGATAACTAGGGTAATTTCATATTAGGATTCTCCTGTCTGGTTAGGTTTTGCTCCATCCTTCATGCTGAACTTTGGGCCATATCCTATGGTTTAAAGATTCTCATAGGTAGAGGCCTATGTGATAACATTATTATTGAATCTAATTCAACCAGTGCAGTTCAATTTTTAAATGAAGGATGTCCTAGATTTCACCCTTGTTACAGATTGACCAATCAAGTGGTTAAGACGGCTGAAGATTTTAACACTATTGAGTGTACTCATATTTTAAGGGAGTCTAATCAAGTAGTAGACTATTTTGCCACGAGAGGGTTCTGTCTGTTAAAAGGAGTTCATGTTTTCAATTCTCCCCCATCGTGGAATGTTTCTTTTTTATTTGCAGATGAGTCTGGTGTAACCTTTCCTCGTGATTTCTAGTTTTTACTTTCTTGTTTTCCTTGGGCTTTTAGCCCCCATAAATAAATAAAAATATATTGAGATTTCAGTTCCAAACTCGAGAGAAAAACTAAAGTGATGGAGGTGACAATGCAATTAAAAGAAACATGACTTGGTTCTTTTTAATGCTCCAATGCTTTTGTTTCTATGTCCAATATGCCCTTACACAAACACATTTATTACTTATTTGGTTTATTTCTCTTCATATAATCGATATTATATGTTTAAAACCACATATTTAAAAACAATAAAATATTTATTTTTTTATATAAAAAACCCATTATTCTCAAATATAATATTATGATAAATAAAAAAAGTATATTTACATACATTTATTATTAATAAATTCTATTTATTATCATTAAAAGAAATTTATAAGAAGTCGGTTACAAAAATTTATACATTATATGACAAAAGATGAACAACATGCATTCCAATTTTACAACAAACTCATAAGAACTCAAAATGCAAGAAAGTAATACTCTCAATTCTTATATATATAGAGATTCAGGAATGGAAATAGAAGAAACTTTAAATAGGAGCTTCTGTTTGTATTTGTTTAAAATATGTTTTTTTATTTTGTATATTTGATAAAAGAGTAAGGTTTAATTTTTTTTAAATATATTTATTTAAAAATGTTAGATTTATATATAAAAAAAAAGATCTATTAGACCTAATAAATCAAACTATTTATCTATATGATGTAATAAAAAATAATATATATATAATTATTAACAATATACTTAAATAAATAATTCTCTTATAAAAAATAAATTATCAATATTTTTTTACATTTTTATTACACTTAAATGTTTTACATTTCTTATTTGTATGAAATCAATAAATCAAAAATAAAAAACTCTAGTAGTCACATCTTTACATGTAGTTTTTCTTTTTCTTCATGATTGATTATTTAAAATACTACAAATGGGATATAGGTAATAATTAGAAAGATTTTTATGATAATATTATCTTTTCATTATAGCTTTGCTTGAGTGTACATTAATATACATAAGTATGCACGAGTTGTGTAACACTACTTTTGGTAGTATGTGTGTTTTTAACACTTTTGTGGTGGTGGACAAACTCTAGTTTTAATAAGCCTTCCTCTTTTCCTTCTTTTTCCAATGTTGTAGAAGGTCTTGGTGAAGCTCTTGAGTAGAGGAATTGATGGAGCCTTCTATGGCGAAAACACCATGATGCTTCACAAGAAACTCCTTCTCAGATCCTTGAGATGGTTGCAAGGACTTGAAGCTAGGAGAAGGAGCAAGAATAGCCAAGGTTAACCTTCCAATTCCGGTTAGAAGGTTGGTGATCCTAACTCTACAAAGAGAGGAGCTCAAGTAGGGTAGAAGAAAAGATCTTAGGGAGACTTTCAGAGGAGAATTTGCACAAGAAGAAAATTCTCATATATCATCCAAAAGTGCTACAATATCCGACCATAGGTGAAGAAGTATGGTGAACAAGTTTGGCTTAACCTAAGGTTAAGTTAAACCATACCATGGTTTAACTAACCTTAGGCGCCAAAATTTGAATGTTTAAATTCAAATTTTGGTGCCAAACTGGTCACCATCATGTGCGCCTTCCATTTGAGTGTAATTTGGTATTCATTTAAGCATCATTTCAGTCACACCATGTGCATGT